TTTTTTTGGTTGTAGCCATCATTGTTTGGCGGGCCCAGGCTGGATTCGAACCCGCCACCTTGGGTGTATGTGGCTGGCACCCTAGCCACTTGAGCCACAGGCGCTGAGTCAATGCTTTCTTTCTATTTGCTCATTTAACCCTTTATCTGTCCTGGGACATATAGATATATTATTGTTCCTGGTTTCAGAAGAGGGAATTGGCAGAGAATGATAAAATTGCTAGACAATGTCAGATGCAGAATTCTCTTCAAAAAGCCATGCTTATCCATGGACATAGGAGTAGATTAGTGGCACTCTGGGAGGCTGAGGCAGGAGGATTGCTTCAGTTCATGAGTTAGAGACCAATCTGAGCAAGAGCAAGACCCCATCTCTACTAAAAATAGAAAAATTAGCCAGATGTGGTGGCAGGCACCTGTAGTCCCAGCTACTTGTGAGCCTAAGGCAGGGGGATCACTGGAACTCAGGAGTTTAAGGTTGCTGTGAGCTGGGCTGATGCCAGAGCATTCCAGCCCAACCGAGGAACACTCTGTCTCAAAAAATAGAAATAAAAAATAAAAAAGTTCATGGGTAAGTTATGAATTAGAAACAAAATTCAGGTCAATTTTTAAGATGACAGTCATATCAGAGAAGTTTCTTATTTCCTTCTCATCAACTCCCCGGGTTACAGTTTGGCAGCCCAGATTTATTACTGCTATGGCTAACATTCGTTCAGTATCATAAAGGGATATTTTGTTGGAAAAGTCTAAGATGCATTGATTGTAGTTAACATGTCTTGATTATGTGAAGAAGAAATTAATTTAGCGAGTTTCTTGCTTTTGACTTGACATTTTTCTGCTTTCAGGCTTTTATGGCAGTATATAAAGCATGATTTCATTTTATTTTATTTTTGGGTATGCAACACTGTCTAGAATGGTCAGTCTGTAGAAGTTGAAGAGGCATTGGTGTCTGAACCTGAAAATGGAAGTCATTCTGCTCTTTGGGTATCAGAAAATCACCTGGGATCCGGAAGTGGATGCTCGGAGACCTGTGCAGAGTCCAGCACAGCCATCCTTCAGCAGAGAAGAACGCCTCAGCCACATGGGAGCCCTGCTGTAGCAGGAGGACAGAACACATCCAATGGCAAAGCCAGGCTTAAGGAGGTACATCACTCTTAAGTACAACTCTGTGCTTGAAACATGTTTCTCTGGCATGGCATGTGGCAATTCACTATTAGCCTTCTCAATTTAAAAGCAGAATACCCAGATCAATTAAACAGTTCACCTGAAATATAACTGGATAAAATATGTAATAAATTCAAGTATATTATCTGAAATAATTTACAGGTTTACCTGATTAAAATGACAATAAGTTCATCATAACCTGTGTTTATGTGATGCAGTTTAGAAAACAGTGGAAATAGTTGAATTTAATTGGGTTGACTTAGAAAATTAGAACCCTAAACTCATGCAGATCGTCTTAGACTAAGATATAGTTATTTGCCTGGTAATGGCCAAGTGAATATCTTAAAGAAAAGAAGTGGATGGGAGGAGCCTGTGGCTCAGTGGGAAGGGCCCTAGCCCCATATACTGAGAGTGGCGGATTCAAACCTGGCCCAGTCAAACTGCAACAACAACAATGAAAAAATAGCCAGGTGTAGTGGCAGGTGCCTGTAGTCCTAGCTACTCGGGAGGCTGAGGCAAGAGAATCACCTAAGCCTAGGAGTTGGAGGTTGCTATGAGCTGTGTGATGCCCTGGCACTCTACCAAGGATGATAAAGTGAGACTCTGTCTCAAAAAAAAAAAAAAAGAAAAGAAAAGAAGTGGAAAATATAGCAAGAGAGAACATGAGATAAGTTAGTGAGACCACTGGCCTCCAGTAAGAGTGGCTGTTAGGGGGCCCAAAGCCTAAACTCCTATATACAAGGGGAAGAAGTGGTGATTTTCAGAGAGGAAGTGGATTTCCTAGAAACTTTCTTTTTTTTCTTTTTTTTTTTTTTGTTTGAACTCGCCACCTCCGGCATATGGGGCCGGCACCCTACACCTTTGAGCCACAGGTACTGCCCCTAGAAACTTTCTTGAGGCAAAATATAAGGTTATTTGTTCTAGCAGCAAATTTACACCCTGGTAAGTTAGCTTTATTTGCATTTGGACTTGTATTGTGATAATACTTGATTAATCTTTAGAAGTAGGAGGTAAGGTAGTCTTTGATCTGATGCCAACATGCTAAAATGTCCTTATAGGCCTCATTTCATTTATTATATGTAGTAAGTATTGTCCCATCTTAGTAGATAACCTGGAATTCAGAGAGGCTAAATAACTTGCACAAGATCATCCTTGAGGTAGGTGGCAGATCCAGAATTTGAATCCAGGCTATTTGATGTCTATTTGGTGTGTGATAATGTCTAAGATAGGGTGTCTGAGTAAGGCCCACACTAGTCTGTGACTCTGATATGATGATACTATCAACTTGATTTACAATGCCCCATTGGTCCCACAGAGAATTGCAGGACCCTTATCTGAGATAATTCATAAGTCTTTTCTGTTTAAAATGCTAATAGGGTCTTGTGTTTTCTTTTGTTTTGTTTTGTTTTTTAGAAACAGAGTCTCACTTTCTCGCCCTCAGTAAAGTGCTGTGGCATCACAGCTCATAGCAACCTCCAACTCCTGGGCTTAGGCAATTCTCTTGCCTCAGCCTCCCGAGTAGCTGGGACTACAGGTGCCCACCACAATGCCCACCTATTTTTTTGTTGCTGTTTTGCTGGGGCCGTTCAAACCCGGTATATGGGGCCAGCGCCCTATCCACTGAACCACAGGTACCACCCTATAATAGGGCCTTTGATGTAGCTTCAAAAGCTGCTTGCCTTTGTAAGTTTTGGAATAAGTATAACCTGCATTTACCTGGAAGCAATTTCAAAAACAATAGAAATGGTTTTCTAAATGGAAATAGGGCTATTCTCAACTCTTACAGGTGAGAATTGCCTTTAGAAGTGGACATTAATTTATACATTTATTGGGTGTAAATATCAGGCCCTTTTTTGGAGACAGTGTGCACAAGATGGACACAGCCCCTGCTCTTAGGGGAGAAAGATAACAGGCAAACCAGTCAGTTGACAGAACTGTCAGGGGATGTGAACATTAAACAGAAAATTGAGAGGATGCCCTGTCTGCTGTTATTAAGATCATTTGGAATTTAGGTCCGGTCATGACAAGGTAATACCTTATATTCTGACCTTCCTACACTTCCAATAGAGGTAGGTCATTTCTTTCAGCCAGAAATCAGCTGGTCATTTCTTTCTAACTGTTTTTGAAAGTCATAATTAAGGCTCAGCGCCTATAGCTCAACCGGCTAAGGCGCCAGCCACATACACCTAAGGTGGTGGGTTGAATCCCCAGCCCGGACCCACCAAACAACAATGATGGCTGCAACCAAAAAATAGCCGGGCGTTGTGGCGGGCGCCTGTGGTCCCAGCTACTTGGGAGGCGGAGGCAGGAGACTCGCTTGAGCCCAGGAGTTGGAGGTTGCTGTGAGCTGTAATGCCACGGCACTCTACCCAGGGGGACAGCTTGAGGCTCTGTCTCAAAAAAAAAAAAAAAAAAGAAAGTCATAATTAAACTTTGTTTGTTTTGGAGACAAGGTCTCACTTGGTTGCCCAGGCAGGAGTGCAGTGGTACGATCATAGCTCACTGCAGCCTTGAACTCTGGGCTCAAGTGTTCCTCCTGCTTTGGCCTCCCAAATTTCTGGGATCACAGATATGAGCCACTGTACCTGGCTGTAATTAAACATCTTTTTCTTATGAAAAAAAAAAAGACTTTCCTTTAGCTTTTTTGGTTGTTTTATGAGCATCTGTAGCCCTCCTCTGAACCCTTTCTAGTCCTTTGCAGCTCCTAATTAATCTGCCTTCCTAAGCCCCAATCTTATGATCTGGCTGAACCTCAAGAGACTGTTTCAAAGACTTCTTTGGCTTCCTCTTCACTTTATTGCTTCTCTTGAGGATCTCACTCATCCTAGTTTCTCAAACCTTCTTTCCTATATAGACTCCCACGTCTGTACTTCCTAGCTAGGTAGACCTTTCTGGAGCATCAGATCTCTTAATTGAAACATCTTTATCCAAGTGTACCCTCTACCTTCCATGTCTCATGTCTGAACAGGGCCCACAAGCTGGCTTCCTGTCCACTTCAGCCCTGCCTTATCAAGGGCTGCTTCATCTGCTGCTGGGGAATGTAAGCTGGGAACCCAGAGCCATTCTTGACTCTTTCTCCTTCAATCACTGCCTGTGTTCTGTGGTCTCTAAGTCTCAAGGATTGTGCCCACTGTGCATCTCTTGCCCACCTACACCCCTGTTCTCACCTGGTCCTCATCTTCTCCTGCCTATACTTTGCCAGTAGTCTTCTGACTGCTTCTCTGCACCATCCAAGGGATGCCCCTAAAACCACTCTCCACATCTACCTTTAGAAATTAATCCAAATCTAGGGCGGCACCTGTGGCTCAAGGAGTAGGGCATTGGCCCCATATACTGGGAGTGGCGGGTTCAAGTCTGGCCTCAGCCAAAACTGCAAAAAGAAAAAAAAAAAAAAAAGAAAGAAAGTAATCCAAATCTTTGGCTCCTCCCAGCCCAGACCTGTGCTGCCCTTAGCCCTCCTGGCCTGCTAGTCCTAGATGCTGCCTCCAACTGTGCTTCTGTCTTCTCTGCACCTGAGCCCCTGGCATAAATGGTTGCTTTCTGTGCTGGTCACCTGGGTCATGTGGCATAGCCTCTGGTGTTATAGGTTTCTGACTAGTTTGCATTTCTTTTTTTTTTGAGACAGAGCCTCAAGCTATCCCCCTAGGTAGAGTGCCGTGGCATCACAGCTCACAGCAATCTCCAACTCCTGGGCTCAAGTGAGTCTCCTGCCTCAGCCTCCCAAGTAGCTGGGACCACAGATGCCCGCCACAACGCCTGGCTATTTTTTTTTGTTTGCAGCCATCATTGTTGTTTGGTGGGCCCAAGCTGGATTTGAACCCGCCACCTTATGTGTATGTGGCTGGCGCCTTAGCCACTTGAGCCACAGGCACCAAGCCTAGTTTTCATTTCTGTCTCCCATACTAGTCAGTGAGTCCAAGAGGGCAGACCACACATTTCCTCATTGCTCTGTCTTTGTTCCAGGGCCAGATACCCAAGAACTTGTCAGAGCTTGTCTGTGGGGACTCAAACTTTGAACCCAGAATGGATCACAATACTTTGGTAATGGGCAAACAAATATGATATTCCAGAAAGCAGAATGCTTCTAATATAGAGTTGCCTAGCTGCTGAGTTTGGGGGAACTTTCTGTCCTTAATGTTTGTGTTAAACCAGCTTGTTAGTTATTGAGAAATTATTTCAGGGCTGTCAAAGGTGTCAAATGCTTTCTTCTAGAGTCTTTGAGTAGCCATTGATGGGGAAGGAACTGCTGGTGTGTGTGTATGTGTATGTGTGAGCACAGTGCTGGTGTGTTAGCAAGAAGGTGGGGGCAGCTGAGTTACAGTCCCAACTTCTTTGACTCTATTTGTTGCTCTCTTCTTTCTACCCAACACCTATTTGGTGGTAGTAGGCATTTATAGTTACATTTATTTTCATTCATTTCCAAATCTCTTAAAATTTTAAGGTAGGGGTTTGGGGAAAGGCAGGAAAGGGGAAGGGAGGAGAGTAGTAGTAGAAGATCAGGAGGAGGAGGATATGGAGATGAAGAAGATTAACTTGGAGTTGAGGAACAGAGCTCCTGGGGAGGTGACAGAGTTAGTTCTTGATAATTGCCTTCAGTGGGGAAATTGAAGCCTTAAATGATACTTTTTTTAATGTGACAGTTTAGACTTTAAGTCAAAGTTTCAAAAGGACTCAGTTGTGTTAGATGTTTAGCAGTGAATGCTATCAGCCTTTATATCATCAGGATTCATGATGTTTATTAAGACTGCTACTGAGACATAAGCTAAACATTCATTTAAACGTCCTGAATCCTGGCCAAGCACAATGGCTCCTGCCTATAATCCTAAAACTCTCGGAGGTCGAGACAGGAGAATTGCTTTAGGCCTAGAGTTTGAGACCAGTTTGAGCAACATAGTCAGGCTCTGAATCTGCAAAAAATAGAAGTAGCCAGATATGATGGCTCATGCCTATAGTCCCAGGTACTCAGGAGTCTGAGGTGG